CTCTCTCTCTCTCTCTCTCTCTCTCTCTCTCTCTCTCTCTCTCTCTCTCTCTCTCTCTCGCTCGCTCGCTCGCTCGCTCGCTCTCTCTCGTTCGTTTCGAAAAAGTAAACGAGGAGCGCTGCGCCCCGGCCGCATCGAAATAGCGCGTTCGTTGGCGCGTTTACACGGTGGGGGGCGGCGTGGCGCGGAAATGAGCTAGGGCGAGGGGAGGCGGTCGTGCTAACGGCGTGCATGACAGCGTGCGTTCCGCCATATCTCGTTGCTGTTTGCGTTGAGGGGGACTGACGCTGTCGGGGTGGGGGTTTTGGCGGTTGTCGTCTGTGAGCTGGTTTTGTATCGGCTCTGTTATCGGTGATGGTAACGTGGGGTGGTGTGGGGGAAGTGTGGAGGGAGGAGGGTGAGTCTCTGGGGGCGGATATGGGGGTGGATTCTTGGAGATGGCTACCGCCGGACGTTGCTGCGCGACAAAGTGTTGTTGAAGGAGAAGGATTCTTGGCTATCAGATGCTTTCACCATGGATGTTCTTCTTCCCGCCGGACTGCCAGTGAGAGGCCATCGACGGGTTCGGTGGTTTGTGTCTTGCTACGTGGCTGATCGCGAAGGTAAGTTTATGCCACGGTCCGTAAATCTTCATCATTCAGCCATATGAAGAAGGCTGCGGGAGGTGCAGACCGCGAGGTGGCTGAGTTGCTTACGAGCTGATGAAGGAGGAGGTGGAGGTTGGGGGGGATGGAGAACGTGACATGGTGTGTTTAGAAGATTTCATGGGTTGGAGAGGTATCTGATAGATTCTCCGCTGCCTTGAGAGTCCTAGAGTCCTAGCTAAGATGGGTGAAGTTGTACTAGTTTCGATTGCTTTTTTGATACTCCACGTTCTATTTCGCAAATCCGTAATTCAAATCCCGATCTGATGATTTGCTTTCTGTTCCTGGTTTTGGTCTGATTGCTTTGGCGAGATGATTGACTTTATATGTTACTCTTCGTGCATTTCCTTGTCCTCGTGATATTTAATGGGATACGATTAGGTTATCTTCAAAACTATTCAAACTATTCTTCCAATATTCTTGAAACTATTCTTCCAATATTCTCGAAATAATTTCCTATTAAAGTCTCCAAAAAACTTTCGATTCTCGGAATAATTTCCTATAAAAGCTAATAAAAATATTCTTGAACTATTCCGCTATAAAAACATCTAAAAACTTCTGACTCTATAACTTGAAATGTTTTTCCAAAAAGCTTCCAAACTAACTTCTGATTCGTGAAATAGTTTCCTATAAAAAGCTCCTAAAATATTCGTGAAATAATTTTCCTATAAAAGTTGCTAAAAAACTTTTGACTCTACACAATCGTAAGTCTGGTTTACTGGTACTGGTAATAAGTCTTAGTGACTTCAGGGATCTTAGTTTTTGTCAACTGAGAACTTCAGAGGGTGGTCGAAAGGCCTAACGGCATGTGGTCTTAAAAATAAACTAAAACCCGCTTATGAAATTTCGTGAATTCATGTTGGGAATTCATATGGGGCGGTTCTGTGGAGTTTCGGGATCGGTCCAAGACGGAGGGCAAAGGGCACGAGATGATTTTTTGTGAGGATGGAGAGAGGGTGCATCGTGGTTGTCTGAGGGGTACCGGCTAGGGGAACTTTCATTGGATGCGATTGGCGTCGGGCAGCTTTGGTTGTCGGATGGTTACCGACTGATGAGGGTTCACTCTGGTGCGATTGGCCTCAGGCGGTGCTGCTGGCTCACCCCCTCGATGACGGAAACTGGAATCTCCGGGGGGCAGGAGATTGCAGGGTAAGGATTGTGTCTGGTTCTTGCTGAGGACACGGTCTGTTGAACTCTTTACTAGGACGGAGTTGGGGGGGTGAAGGAGGTGAGCGGAGTTCTGTTGGGTCTTGGGGGATCTGTTCAAGGTGAAGGGTAAAGGGCACGAGATGATTCTTCGTGAGGACGGAGAGAGGGTGGAATTAGGTTGTCTGAAGGGTACTGGCTGGGGGATCTCTCATTAGATGCGATTGGCATCGGGCAGCCTTAGTTGTCGGATGGGTACCGACTGATGAGGGAGCATCTTGGTGCAATTAACAACGATTTCGTCAAAACGGACATTTTATATTTTTAGAATGAAATTTAAATTGTCATTTCCGTGGTGATTTAGGGTCAAAAATGCATTTGAATTTGGGGTATGGGTATACATGCAAGGGTAAGGGGTAAGGGGTAAGGGGTTTGGGGGTAAGGGATAAGGGGTAAATGACAAGGGGTAAGGGGCAGGAACTTGGAGCAATGGTTGTCATCTTTTATACATTGTTTCCATGACAAACAATTTAATATTACCCACATCCATCCGCATGTAATCACAATATCCAGCAGCAGGTTCATACTACTCGCGAGCCACTGTGTCCAAAGCCATTCGACGACGTATTGCGGGTATGTCATCAGCGGTGAAAGAGAAAGGCGGAAGGTGACCCCTTACCAATAGCGATGCGTATGCGAGCATGAAGACCCCACACGAGCTAGTGTCACGTTGTTTCGGAACACCCTCTACGCTCCATATGTGATTAAACGGTTTCGTGTCCACCTCTTTGCCTTGTTGAATCGATCTTTTAAACAAAAACTTTGCAAATCCGCCGGTCACTTTGGCTCCCAGTTCTTTGTCGGGGCTGAGGGAGTCGTAAAATTCAAATTTCCTCCTCCTGAAGTCAGCCACAACGAGGGTCCAGTGGTTCGTGTGTGCGATATGGAAAGGGGCAATTATCAAGTCCATTTCACTTATTATAATGCCATTCGACCAGTGCCGCACCTCTCGCTCTTGATATCTCATTTCGCTGTCGAAAAGTCTGGCGAAGAAAAACGAGCTCAGCACTGATATTCTAGGAATGTGACCCTTTCCGATTCTAATCACGGTTTCGTTCTCGGCGTCGCATTCTACGTGTGTGATTCTACACTAGTTGTCTAGTGCAATGAGGTTCAGGTAGAAGTTGACGACGTTGTCATTTAACCAGTTCCGCTCGTCGACTAGTAAAATAAATTCGTCTCGAGTTAGCTTCAATACTTCGTTCGTCCCATGATTGTGTGTGCTCGCTATTGGGAACCTTTTCTCGTACTCCCGGCTTACATGTGAGAGTGCTTTCATCTCCTTCTCTAATAAAGACCATGTTGCGAGGCGCATTGTCCACCCTCTTTTGCACTTTCTTGTATCTGTTGTTGTAATTCGCACTGCACACGACAAGCACGACGAATACGACATCGACGGCAGTGTAAACGACGGTGACCGAGGCGGACAGGGGTGTAAAAAAATTGTCACCCTTACAGGAAAGTGAGAAACGGGTGGGCAGGCGGTGTAAAAAACGGGGAGGGCGACCATTTGAGATACTTGTACATGGGCAAGTGCCTTAGCATAACATGCTAAACGGAAATGATGTATTCAAGATACGTCATCAATGTTTCGCCAAACTTACACTTAGATGGACGACAATACTTCGGGACCAATCAATCCTGACTCCTGCCCCCTTTCATCACCGTACCCCAACGGCATACATGCATATACACAACACAGCATATTGACGAATATAGAGAGACACACACGCATACTACGACACACTCTTGTTCATCACACAATTTTCTTGTGAACAATTAAAAGGTCAAATCCCGGAAATTGAACACTAATGAGTCTACATGTCGATTGTACACTGGAACAAATTCCGCCCACAAATCCAGATTTCACACAAATGAGCACACACACGAAAACATTATATTTCCCCGCGAAGAGGATTTCCCTCAAGTTCATTCCTTGTCTCACCCCTCATTTTCTGCACTCGTGGGATCGCTCACGCCCTTTCCGCCTTCTACCCCATCCTCATCGTCCGTCCTCATGTCTTCAATATTGCGAGAACGTGGAGGCCCCCCTGCATTTCCCCCATTCCCGTCATCCCCTGTGACCCCTCCCTGTGGTGTTGTTGTACAGTGTGCGTCACCTTTGCTAGCGCATGTGGGCAGATGCAACGACATCCTCGTGACGCCCATCCCAGCAGTGGACTCTGACACCATCTCCGATGTGCCTGCCAACGCCGCACCTGTCACGAGGAGACTCCCGTATGTGGCGCCCGCATCCGCCGGCTTGTCGAGTGACACTTTTTCACCTTGTGATGTATCCCCCGTTGTGACAGAGATGGCTCCGATGGTGTTTTTGCCTGCGGGCATGTTCCCCGCCTCTGGCAACGGAGGCTTCATGCCCAACGTCGTCCCGCCATCTTCCCTTTGTTCACCCATCGTGTTCCCTGTGGCCGCCTCGGGCACAGGGGCGGCATCTTCTCGGGAGTCCACGTCCATGCTCTCGAGCGCGGCGGCGCGCTCAACCTTCCAGTCAATCTTGCCGTACGAGGGGCTCGACTGCAGCTCGTAAAACTTGTGTGAGTACTCTAACTGCCGAGTGGCTCCCAAGGCGTCGAACAATTGTTT